CTCAAATTCCTGTTTTATTCTCATGTCACTAACCGAGTCTCTTCTGTAAGTCTCCTGTTAAATTCATAACAACTGTTTTTTTCCCAGACTCCATATTTCTGGATGAGTACAAGATGGCCTGCCTCGGAGGTGGATTATGGTAGGAAAAGAAAGATGTGCAGATTCAAAATTAATGAAAAAGGTTCTCGGTTTTTTTTTATTCCAGTTTTCATTTTCCATCCTCAGCAATATTTTTGGCAAAGAAGAACATAAGAAAACAAGGAGAACTGATGGAACATGAAAAGGTTGGAGATGCGTGTGTCTGAGAGGAAGTGTGTGCACAATGAATTATGTAGGAAAGATTTTACTGCAAGATTCCCGTGTCGTCATTCCACATCTCCCCCTCCTCTAGGAGAGGTACAGTCTGTTGCACAAGAGGATCAACCATACTTGGGACTTTGTGGTGATGCAGGCCAGAGAGCAGCTCAGGTGCACACACACACACACACACACACGCACACGCACGCACGCACACACACAATTTTACATTGTGATTGGTGTTCAGGACATCCAAGCAGAGGAGGAAGGCTGACCGTATTGTTCTGGAGTGTCAGGAGCAGGCTTACTGGCTCATCAACAGACCGCCGGTACGTTCCCTGCCACAGTTCTGCTACCAACATGGACGTAATTTTGGGGGGGGGGGACAGGGGGGGACATGTCCCCCCCACTTTTTCCAAAGTCAAGTGTTGACCCCTGCACTTTTTACCATCCAAAAACAATGTTACGCTGTATTAAATTGACACTGCTTGAGCTCTAGGACCAAGCAAAAAACAACCGTTTGTGTTGAAACCTGTTTCCCATTAGAGCATACTGTAAAGATACCCCCCCCTCCCCCGTGTCTCTCCCCCCCCCACTTCTAAAGTGAAAATTACATCCATGGTTACCAATGTTACTTAACTCAAAAGAATGTGGGCTAAACCCGTGGAAAGTCATATACAATTCCTTCAAACGTAATGGACTTTTAAAATCAGAATGGTTTATTTGTGCGTTAATCATGAAAAATGAAAATGACCCTTGAAAATGCTTGAAAAGGACTTGATTTTGATTTTTGCCAAGGGCTTAAAATCCCTGGTTAATGCCGGCCCTCAGCAGCCGGTGGCCAGTGTTCAGTGTTTTCAGACCAAGTCTACGATTATGATCAGTCTGAAACGTGGAAACAACCTGTAATGTAATTAACTAGAGGACAACCGGCACAGTTTGACTGTAAAACAACCCAGGACAGAGAGCTTGGATGTTAGCTTCAGGCTAGCCTAGATATCAAAAATGGTTCCCAAAGTTGGGGTCAAGGCACAACTTGTGGTTGTGGAACATGAAAAGTAAGGGGTTAGGACAGTATTTATGAATAAATGCACGTAATAAAATGAGATGTTATTTTTGGCTGAATGGTGGAGCATGTTGCTTCACTGCTAAAAGGTTGCAGGTTTGAATCCCGGCTGCAGCCTTTCTGCATGGAGTCAGCGTTTTCTCCTTATGCACGAGTGGGTTTTCTTTGGGTACACTGGTTTCCTCCCACAGATTAAATACATGCCTGTTGGATTACGTGGAGAGTAAATTATCCCTAGGGGTGAGTGAGTGTTTCACCATGCATCATGATAAAGTTTAAAGGTCATCTTCACTGAAAAATACATTTTTTAATTAATATTTCTGATTAAAATCCGTCACTCTGAGTTTAACATGCAGAATAAACATGAAAATAGTCTCCTACATTAGCTTCCGACAGACAGATGAGATAACTGCTAGTTTGACAAAACCTCCAGACTCGTCAGATAATTCAGTGTCCTTGAACTGCATTGCAATGTTTACTGTGTGACGTGCCTTAAGACGACTCTTGTCGTGATTTGACGCTATATAAATAAACAGAACTGAATTGCTATGCTACACTGCATGTACAAGCATCTGCAGTTAGTTTGTTTTCAGTGTGCAACCTCGGAGAAGCTACAAGAAATGAGACACAATCCTTACTAATGTTCATCCACATTCAGTAGGACCAACTCCATCTTTTCTTGAATCTTATGAATTACAGACGAGGGCTTGGAGAAAACAAGAGAAGAAACCAGGGACTAAAAGTCAGAACTAGTGATGTGGATGAAATGTGATGACTTGCACACTCAATGACCACACACACACACACACACACACACACACACACACACACACACACACACACACACACACACACACACACACACACACACACACACAGAGCCATCACTTTATTACTCAGTAGAGGTGTGTGTGCGTGCTTTCAGCCCGGGGTCCAGAGTGTGTTGGACATGGGTCTAGAGCGTTCGAGTAACCAAAACCTGCCTGAAATATTCAAAGTACCTGGTGAAAACCTGAGCTGACAAAGGGAGAAACTCTCTGTGTGTGTGTGTGTGTGTGCGCGTGTGTGTGCGTGCGTGTGTGTTTGAGGATGGTCAGGAAGCCAGTCCAAGTGCACCTCAGGTCACTTTAAACATCACGTTAGTCCTCATTCCTCATACTGAGACATCCAGACTGAAGGGACTGGTAGAAGTGGTGAGAGGAGGGAGGGAATGCTGCGGGGTCTGGGGGGAGTCATGGGGGGAGGCGAGGGTTCAGTAGGACCAACTCCATCTTTTCTTGAATCTTATGAATTACAGACGAGGGCTTGGAGAAAACAAGAGAAGAAACCAGGGACTAAAAGTCTGAACTAGTGATGTGGAAGAAATGTGATGACTTGTACACTCAATGACCACACACACACACATACACACACACACACACACACACACACACACACACACACACACACACACACACACACACACACACACCATCATGTTATTACTCAGTAGAGGTGTGTGTGTGCTTTCAGCCCGGGGTCCAGAGTGTGTTGGACATGGGTCTAGAGCGTCCGAGTAACCAAAACCTACGAGTACCTCTGGTCAGTCACTTCTTTTTTCTGCCTTCCTGCAATCTGCTGCAGAACTTCTTCATCCATTCACACACCTGATTTCTGACACGTTTACTGTTTTTTTCCCTTTGCTACTTGGATATTTTTAAAGTAAGTGTAATATTTGTCTTCAGTCATTGTGGGTTTGTAGTTTGTAGTGCTTGTTAGTCATAGAAAAAACTACAAATATGAGCTAAGATCATTAAATTGCCATAATCTTATCATTGGTATCGAATTTATACCTCTAATTTCTCAGGACAGGTTCTGTTATACTGTGAGGGAGTCAGTGCAACAGCAATACAACCTTTTTATTTACGACATTTATAAAACTGATAAAAGCATCAAACAGCAGAGTATGCTGTGCAATTAGGAATGGTGTGCTGTGACCTTTGGTAGCCACCCAATTTAAACACAATCTGCAAAAACCTTACCCAAACAAGACAAACGCCACCCCTGTAGACCTCTGTAGCTGCAGGTAAACTTCATTGTAGAAACCATCAGGCGTTTAATGGGCCACAGGAAGGTAGACTTTACATGACTGAATTTTTATCATTGTTGGATATTTTAAAATTGAATGTCGGTTCACACAGCAGGACACCTTGCATAACTTACTGAGAGATCAATGTGAGATTAGATCAGCCTCGCACGGAAGCCAGGCGGCCATGCCAGTGGGCTACCCGGTCCCCAGAGCCCATTCTTAGCTTCTAGAGTTAGCTAAGTTAGCTAGTAGCCACATTGGTTCATTTGTTCCAAATGTAACAGCCCCACTCTCAGCTCCAACTCTTTTACCATTCTTTGATTGTCTGGGCATGACGTGACGTGTGACGCGGCCAAAATGTCAGTGGTGGCTTCCACCCTGCCCTTCATGGGGCAATGGGCGGGCCATGTCCATCCTTTTTATACGTCGATGGTCAAAACTCTGCATAATTATGTTACAATGATGTCACACACAAAATATCTAGAGCTGGGTACTCAATTGGTACATCAGGGTTGATCACAGCCAAACATTAAAACAAGTGAAGTTTCACCACCAAACGTTCCACAACTATATATTTGTTATCATGACATTTACTTATTATCTCCCTCACTGTTTTTGCACAGTAACTATTTGAGTAACTGTTTGTTACTCTTGTCACAGATGTGAAGTTACCATGGTGATCCTGATGAGCCACTGACACAAGATTTAACATTTCTTTCAGTCATACATTTTTCCATCAGACATTTCATCATACTTTGAATTATCTATTAAAGAGGGTATCCTACAGTCAGTATGAAAGTCATCACATAAACCTGTAACTTTAACTGTAAGCTGCCCTTCAGAGCACTGGCTCATATGATCTTCTCCTTCACAGAAATAGAACAGCGACTTCTACAAAAGAGAGGTAAGAGATGCTATCACTTTGAAGACATTTTTGGTTTTATACATTTCTGTTTTTTACATTTGTCTGTTTTTATGTGTGTGTGTTTTACTTTTGCCTGTTTTTATGTTTGTGTGTGTTTTACACTTGTCTGTTTTTATGTTTGTGTGTGTTTTACATTTGCCTGTTTTTATGTTTGTGTGTGTTTCACTTTAGTCTGTTTTTATGTTTGTGTGTGTTTTACTTTTGTCTGTTTTTATGTATTTATGTTATGTTTATGTTTTTATGTATTGTTTTATGTTCTGTTTGTCTGTTTTTATGTTTGCGTGTGCTTTACTTTTGCCTGTTTTTATGTTTGTGTGTGTTTTTCATTTGTCTGTTTTTTTGTTTGTGTGTTTTACATTTGCATGTTTTTATGTTTGTGTGTGTTTTACATTTGTCTGTTTTTATGCTTGTTTGTGTTTTTCATTTGTCTGTTTTTATGTTTGTGTTTTTCATTTGTCTGTTTTTTGTTTGTGTGTTTTACATTTGCCTGTTTTTATGTTTGTGTGTGTTTTTCATTTGTCTGTTTTTATGTTTGTGTGTGTTTTACATTTGTCTGTTTTTATGTTTGTGTGAGCTTTACTTTTGCCTGTTTTTATGTTTGTGTGTGTTTTTCATTTGTCTGTTTTTATGTTTGTGTGTGTTTTACTTTTGCCTGTTTTTATGTTTGTGTGTGTTACTTTTGCCTGTGTTATGTTTGTGTGTGTTTTACTTTTGCCTGTTTTTATGTTTGTGTGTGTTTTACTTTTGCCTGTTTTTATGTTTGTGTGTGTTACTTTTGCCTGTTTTTATGTTTGTGTGTGTTTTACTTTTGCCTGTTTTTATGTTTGTGTGTTTTACTTTTGCCTGTTTTCATGTTTGTGTGTGTTTTACTTTTGCCTGTTTTTATGTTTGTGTGTGTTTTACTTTTGTCTGTTTTTATGTATTTATGTTATGTTTATGTTTTTATGTATTGTTTTATGTTCTGTTTATCTGTTTTTATGTTTGTGTGTGTTACATTCACTGACACTTGTCGGTGATTCGATGCAATTTCTTGGGTTCCTTATTTAGGAATCTTTTTTATGTTTGTGTTTTAGTTTTGTCTGTTTTTATGTTGTGTTTTGCATTTTTCTGTCTCAGATTGAAGCATCCAGACGGGCTCTTGGGAGAAACAGAGTAAAGTCATCTATCTGCCTAGAAGGGTAAGTGTCAGATAAAGTCTCTCTCTCACACACACACACACACACACACACACACACACACACACACACACACACACACACACACACACACACACACACACACACACACACACACACACACACACACACAGCTTAGTGCTTTTTCTGTAAGAGCGACTAATGGACTCTTCCTGAGGCAAGTTGGAATTAGTGGCCACTACCTCTTATGATCTGCTGCACTAATACAGTATTACTCTGTGTGTGTGTGTGTGTGTGTGTGTGTGTGTGTGTGTGTGTGTGTGTGTGTGTGTGTGTGTGTATGTGCCTCTGCATCTGTGCAGCTTTGTGAAATACTGCGAGCAGTACCAGGACCATGATCCCATTATGCTGGGCTGCCTTCCCAGTAACCCTTGGATCTCTGATGACTCTGCATACTGGACTATCAACACAGAAATGTAAGTTGAGACCTGAATGTACCACAGTCCTCCATGCTGTAGTTCATACTGCTGTGCTGTAGTTTAAAGCCGACATAGACAAATTACATGAATTACATCAACAACTGCTTTCTGGGGCTGAAACTACATACAAAATATGTTGTTTTTGTATATTTTTGTATATATCTTTAAAACACTTCCTTGAAATTATGATCATGTCTCAGCATGTCTCTTTTGGGACTTTGGACCTCTGAGATGATCTCCAAGCCTGGAAAGTTCAGAGGGTTTCTGTGCCATCAACTCTGAACTTCAGTTTCCACCACAGACTTTATTTACTTTAGAGGCAGCCCCACGGGAACCAGAACAATTACAGTCCTCTGCCGAAAGGCCGTGATCATGTTTTTAGCCATTGTGCGTTTGCTAGCTGACTGTTAACTGATAATGCATCAAGTTTATTACACAAACATCTATAGTCCCATCATTTGTCAACATCAGATGGTCTTAGTTTAAAGATTTAGACCCTGGTTCTTCTCAATCTTCTTCCTGTTAAACAGGTGTTTTCTTTCCCACTGTCGCCTACCCGACCGTTCTTGCTCAGTGTCACAATGTGGGATCGCGTTGAGTTGGAGATTCAATTAACATGGCCAGTTTTCCTTTCTGATTTGACCCCAGTCTGGAACAATTTTAATGTCAACTGGACTTTATGATTTTAGATGTGAACTGGAGCTGTTTTACAAGATTTAGAAAGATTCAACAAACTTCATTAGGCGGGAATTCTGAGAGGAAAAAAACAATAATTAAGAAAAAATAGAGCTTAGATTTTAACACTTGCTGGTTTAACTGGTTTTCAGCCATAAAAACTCACAAAAAACAAGACCTACATTTAGAGTAGTGAAAAAAGCTGTAACTGTATCTGGATTAACTGTGTAGAATTGTTTTTTTCCAACGTGTGTGTGTGTGTGTGTTTCTCAGCGTGCTTGTGCCGACTCGCCTCCGGGTGGAGCGCTGGAGCTTCAGCTTCATGGAGCTTCTCTCTGACCCGATGGGGAGGAAGGAGTTCATGACTTACCTGGAGAAAGAGTTTAGTGGTGAGAAGGAGAATGATTTGGATCGCTTCTATTAACCAAGATCAACCAAACTCCTAAAGTTCTCAGTGGAGACAAATCATTGTGACTTTAGTTAAATTTGAAATTCTTCAATTTTTTTATTGGTTCACTGATTTTCCCTTGAGATGAAATGACTACAGCGTTTAGAGGAAAGGCTTGAGCAACAGGTGGATTCTGAAAGGAGAGAGACCTAGTGGAGCGATTTGTTCTTCCATGCAGAAATAAAATACTGCAGCTGTTTCCAAAGAGGCCCTCCTGCTAAAAAGTCTCCTAAATGCACAGCATTTTCCACCTCTCTCTGTGTGTGTGTGTGTGTGCACTCTCAGCGGAGAACCTGTACTTCTGGCAGGCGTGTGAGGAAATCCGGCATGGAGAAAGTTCAAAAATCCCACAGAAAGTGGAAGATGTTTACAAGTGAGTGCATCTTTGCAGCACAAGTGCGCTAAACGCCCAAGACACTTAGCCTGGTCCTGTCACCAACAGACTTTTTGTGGTTTAGGAACTTCCTGGCTCCAGGAGCCAGCCGTTGGGTCAACATTGACAGCAAGACCATGGATAAAACTTTAGAGGGGATTAAACGGCCGCACCGCTTTGTCCTGGACGATGCACAGATGCACATCTACTTCCTCATGAAGAAGGTTGGTGGTCAGACAGAGCGCTTTTTGGTTCCAACAATATCAGTAAAACTTAGAACAGGAGGTTGCAGATGGCTTCTAATCTCATTTCAACAGTTACCTTATACAACTTAGATCTACAAGACATTTAAAAGAAAAAAAAGCTTTTACTTCTTTGATTAGCCAGTTAATGTCAAAAGCAAAAAAGGTCTCATTCGTCTGTTTATTTATTTTCAGTCAAGTACATTTTCTTTTTTGAAAGACTAACACTCTCCGTATGTAGCTCGTGGCCGAATGAGATGATGTTTCATGTTCTGTATCGTAATCGTCCTGCACAAGTTTTACTTTCGCTGTGGTTAGTGCCGGTGCTGTCATGACTCTGCTCTGCACACAGGTGGAGCTATGGTGGCTGCTTTGTCAGAAATCACAAGTATTTCTATTTGCCCTTTCTTCCTGTTGTGTGTGTGTGTGTGTGTGTGTGTGTGTGTGTGTGTGTGTGTGTGTGTGTGTGTGTGTGTGTGTGTGTGTGTGTGTGTGTGTGTGTTTCTGTGTGTATGTACATGTGTGTGTGTGTGCATCTGTATCTGTGTGTGTGTGCATGTGTATATGTGTGTGTGCACGTGTATATGTGTGTGTGTGTAAATGTGTGTGAATGTGTGTGTGTGAGTTTGTATGTGTATGTGTGTGTGTGTGTATGTGTGTGTATGTACATGTGTGTGTGTGTGTGTGTTTCTGTGTGTATGTACATGTGTGTGTGTGTGCATCTGTATCTGTGTGTGTGTGCATGTGTATATGTGTGTGTGCACGTGTATATGTGTGTGTGTAAATGTGTGTGAATGTGTGTGTGTGAGTTTGTATGTGTGTGTGTGTGTGTGTGTATGTGTGTGTATGTACATGTGTGTGTGTGTGTGTGTTTCTGTGTGTATGTACATGTGTATCTGTGTGTGCATGTGTATATGTGTGTGTATAAATGTGTGTGCGTGAGTTTGTATGTGTATGTGTGTGTGTGCTTGTGTGTGTGTGTGTGTGTGTTTCTGTGTGTATGTACATGTGTGTGTGTGTGTGCATCTGTATCTGTGTGTGTGTGTGTGCATGTGTATATGTGTGTGTGTAAATGTGTGTGTGTGTGTGTGCATGTGTGTATATACATGTGTGTGTGTGTGTGTGTGTGTGTGTGTGCATCTGTATCTGTGTGTGTGTGCATGTGTATATGTGTGTGTGCACGTGTATATGTGTGTGTGTAAATGTGTGTGTGTGAGTTTGTATGTGTATGTGTGTGTGTGTGTGTGTGTGTATGTGTGTGCATATGTGTGTGTGTGTGTATGTGTGTGTATGTACATGTGTGTGTGTGTGTGTGTGTGTGTGTATATGTGTGTGTATAAATGTGTGTGCGTGAGTTTGTATGTGTATGTGTGTGTGTGCTTGTGTGTGTGTGTGTGTGTGTGTGTGTGTGTGTGTGTGCATCTGTATCTGTGTGTGTGTGCATGTGTAAATGTGTGTGCGTGAGTTTGAATGTGTATGTGTGTGTGTGTGTGTGTGTGTGTGTGTGTGTGTGTGTGTGTGTGTGTGTGTGTGTAGGACTCTTACCCCAGGTTTCTAAAGTCAGACCTGTATAAAAACATGCTGAGCAGAGCGATGGTTCCACAGGAAAGTAAGAAAAGGTAAAACTTTCTGCTTTAAATGAAAACACTGTTTGTTCCTCGTGTGTATTCCACATCTTCTGAAGTTTGGTTTAGTAGAATTGTTACAAACAATCTCACCTGCTGTAGAAGGCTCTCTCATCTACCTCATCTTGGAGAAAGGGATAATTCTGACCAGATTGATGTGCTAAAGGCTAGTTAGAGTGGGCAGTAGTCCTCTAAGCTGCACATGAAGTTCTACAGCTAGCTGCTGTGGCTGCTAGATGTTTCCACAAATAACCTAATCAAACGATAGTCATAATGGTATATTGTCAGTAATTTAAAGATTCATGAACATCTTCTTATTGGCCACTGTGACATTTTTCAGCTTAGTTTTAAAAAGGCAGCGAGTCTTTTTGAACTGTTCCCTATAAACCAGCCATAATCAGGTCTTTCCACCAGACACACGTGTCATGTAACATCCGTGAAGTGTAGTACGGAGCGATTAGCAGCCATTGAAGTGGATGGGGGTGTTTTCAACTCAGTTTTATGCTCCGAGCCTCTTTTTTATCACGATTTCCAGTTGCTTTCCAAGTTAAAAAAGTGTAGGAGTAGCATACGTAGGTATTTTGGGTGCTTTCAAAGCTCAACATATTACACTACATTTGACCAATAAGTGAATTTCTGTATAAACATGGAAATCCAATCTGATTGATCTTTGAATGTTTAACCAGAAGACTTAGACTTCTTTGTTTACTCAGGGATTTTAAGACACTTTGTATTAATTCAGAGTCAAGTTTATAAAAAGCAAGACATATATTTTCTAAACAATTGAAAACATGACAACTAGAAACACTTTATGTGATGAATGAATCCAAGTGGATGGAATGTGAGGTGTGAGGATGTGTGAATGTGATGTTATCAGAACCCCCGTACCTGAAGAAACTGAGTTCTGCGTGGGAGTGAATTTGGTCTGCTATAACTATAGTTGATGGTTTATAAAACCACATCAGACGCAATCTGTCGAGTCTACGTACCCTTCGAAGACCCCCGTGGTAGATCCGGAATGTGTTGAGGTCCGGGGACCCCAGAGGTACCGAAGTCCGTAGAAGAAACCGCAGTGCCACTAGACCGGCCTCGAGATGTCTCCAGGTCACGACAGGTAGTTATTTGCATCTATGGAGGACTCTTAAAGAGTCGAAGCTGGTCCAGCTTTGTTCTGAAGGAACCGTTTGAGGTCAGCTGTAGCACGCAACAGGTTTTGACAGCTTGTCAAAAGATGTGATGGGAGAAGAGGCTTCCTCCGATGGCCAGTCAGAGTTAGCTCAACTGAATCACTCAGGAAGTGATGATTTTATAAATAATGGCCACATCTTGGTTTATAGATAAATCAGAACTTGCCCTGGAAAGGGGTTTTGCCAACAAACTCAGATACACACCTCCCTCAGATATGAAGATGCTGATTTTGTGGATAAGAAAATATCTATGTGCAGTGACGTTCATTCTAACTTGCATCGTGGAGATATGGTGAGTGTGTCTTGTCCAGTCAGTGCGCTGATTAAATATACGGGTCATGTATGTCATTTAATCCTTAGTGTAATAATAATATTTATTTCAACTTCAGTAATTTAAGCACAGCTTAATCATAAAATTTCATTTAATCATATTGTCCATTTCATTATATGATTAGTTACTCATATTGTTCATCCTTCTTGTTCTGTGAATAAAAACAGTGTAGCGTCACGAAGGTCCTCTAATTTGTGACAAAGGTCACATTTTCCCAGCTGGGTCAAGCTGGGTCAGACTGTGACTTTTAGTTCCACAGATTAAAGAGTAGCCCTGATGTCTAAAGAATATCATCCTTTATCTGCTGCTGTTCCGTCCCAGAAGAAGGACACTTCAGGTTCACGATAATAATTTAAGAAATAATTTAATAAACTCTTTGACTTTATTGAGGTTTATTATAGTCATCATAAATAATCACTTGGTTCAGTATAAATGTATTTTTAATTACTGAAATGAATTATTATGCTTTGGGTATAATTATGATTATGGTTGATGATCAGTAATGTGTGTTCAGCAAATCAGAAGGTCAACTTCCACCTTATCCATCCAACACAGAGTTTATCCAGACTAAAGGGTAACTGCCGTCACATGTTTTTTGACTCATGACCAAAGCTTTCTTGCTCTGAGAGGGCGTGTTCTGAGGACTTTGTTAAAACTAACTTCCAGCAGCTTTAACTTCCGTTCGTGAACCCACCACCATCCTGAGGATATGGGAACGGCCGTCCCTAACCTCCACCTGCTGTTCTGTCACGCCGATAAGAATAGCTACGAATAAACGTATTTGTAACCAGCTGACGCAAAAAACTCTTCCAGAGTTATTGATTTTGAGACGCAAATAGTTTCATCAGTCGTGTGACCCACGGAGACATTCCAGGACTGATTTGGTCGCATTGAGGTTCTTCTACCACCCTCGTGCCCGGAGGAAATCATCTCCACCTGACATCTCGGATCCAAAAGGGGGTCTCAAGAAACTGGGTGAGGTAGACACTTTCGACAGATGACGTCTGATGCTGTTTCTCTAAGTAACAACAGTTAGCTGCAAAACCATCATTTCCAACCAAGAACGCGCTTCTCTCTCTGAAAGAAACCTTCTGAGAACATTCACGCATCCAAACTCGTATTTTCAATTTAGCTTTCATTCAGCCACAGGTTTGCCTTTAAAAAAAGTTTTAATATCAAAGCTGGCAAATTGTCATCCATGAATTGTCATTTTTAATTGTCATTTAAATTGTCGTTTCAAATCGTCAAGTTTAAAATTGTTAGTAATAAATTCTTCATTTTTAAACCTTGCCTCATTCTTTGAAATGAAACAAGAAGCAACAGCCCCCTTCAGACAGGCCATGAAAAACGGAAATGTTCCGGACTCTGTCCGTAAGACATTTGTGTCTGAATACAAACATCCGGATAACGTTTTCCGTAATTAAACCGGATGACGCCCCTAGTAACAGGTCCGGACTTGTTACATACAAGGTGGCTGCTTCAGACTGGTGAGGTCGAGTTCCGGACTGGGAGGAGGGGACCGGGGGACACTGTGCGCACCTAGATAGCTCCCTCCTGTAGCATGCGGCAAACCATGGCAGCTCGCCTCCTACGGTACCGTCTAGATGCGCGACGGAGCGCATCACACCGCTTCCGTGATTCCTTTAACCATTGAGCGCCATCATCCAGGTCTTATCTTCGTGTGCGCAGAATTATGCTTAACATAAGTCCGATCCCACACCCCCAACCCAGACATGTGGAACTTTTCCCTGCTGTGTGAACGCAGCCGAAAGGACAAGTTCCGGTACAAAAGTGCTGTGTCTGAAAACACAGTTCCGGTTAAAAACCGGACTGAATTTTCCACACATATTCCGGAATGTCAGTCTGAAAAGGGCTTTAGATAAGAGTGAGCTTGCGAGGGCCTTAGGACAAGCAACAATATCTTTCTTGCAGATTAAAAGCACCAGTTAAGACTTATGTCTCCAAATGGCGAGATACTGAAGAGGTCAGACTGTAGGTGGAAAACCGACCATTCCTGGAGGCTAAAAAAGTACGTCATTTCCAGTGAAACCTCCAGAGCCAAGGAACCACAACAGATGTTGGATGAATGTAGTGTCTTCCTCCTTGCTTGTGTTTGTGTGAACTGCTGGAATCCCACGAGGTGCTGTTGGTGGTTTTGTGTCCTCGCAGGACCAGCTGGGTGGACCACTTTCACTGTGGTTTCACATCTGAAACACTCCAGTGGAAAAGTCATCAGTCTGGTCAGAAACGATCTGTCCTTCTCCTAACTGAGGTTGTTTAAAGAGCCATCTATACCAAGACAAATCTTGCTTGTTTAGATTTTTTCCGCATAATGCTCCTTTGAGAAAGCCTAATTTGATCTTTCTGTCAGTGTGTTCCCGTTCATGCGGCGGCAGCGGCACTCCAGCCCCTCCCCTGCTCAGGTCGTTGCCCACGGAACAGAGGAAGACGAACGTACCGGGGGGGTGGGGCAAGCAGGTACCAACTCTACAACCGGTGCCCGTGTCTGATGCAGATCTCCATCAGCTCCATCCACAGAAAACTTTTGCTTTTTCCTCTCTCTCTCACTGCTGCAACATCAACAGAGGTCGTCATGTAGATCCTCACTGAGGAGAAGGCCGAGCTTTTAGCTTTACTGCATCTTCATCCTGCATCTGCAGCCCAGCTCAGTCCAAACAGTGTGTTCTGGTCTTTTGGATCAACCATTCCTCTCTTTGTTTATCCCCCTAGAAACTCTAGAAGAAATATGACCGGATTATGAACAAGTCCAGGGTCCTCATTCATCAACCGTTCTTATGCACAGATCCGTGCGTATTTTGTGCTGAGGAACAATCTTACATATTCCGCGGTATTTATTACCAACCTGTACTTGTGCGTAAGAACAGCTCTGGCCATGCATGTGAACAGCATCAAGTGGTAAAATGGGGGAACTGCAACACTGAAGATCTCAGTCATCCACAAATCCTCATTAACCAATAAGTACTGATGTCTGTGGAGAAACAGCTTCACCACATAACTGGTGTTATGTCCTATACAAGACACATGTGACAGACAGGAATCTGACATTGTGGTGTGGCTGATCTGGTGTTCTTGGAGGATCTGGCAGAGCATGCTCTCTGGAGGGAACGTGTCTTCCAGAAGAGAATCCAGAGGGGCTCCTGAGCAGATATTGCTTTCTGAAGGAGGTCCATCCAGAGCGATGCCGTGATTTGGGACGTTTTGTGGAGCAACTGACAAACCACGCCAATCTGATTCTAGTTCATATTCAGTTATCGAGAGCTTTAAGATTTCTCACCTTTCAGCATGAGATAGCAGACGGATTGGGCGTCTCAGCCATCACTGAGCGGCATCATGCCGTTATGAATACTGTGGAGTTTTAAGGGAGAAGAATCAGGCTTCACATGGGCTCACCACTAGTGGGAGGGGCCAAAGGAGTTGGGTGCAATGTGTGATGGGTGGTGGCCAAAGGTGGGGACCTTGGCGCTCTGATCCTTGGCTACAGAAGCTGGCTCTCAGTACGTGGAATGGCACCTCTCTGGAAGCAGGCTGACTTGGAGTGAGAGTTGAGATGTTTCGACTAGATCTAGTCGGACTGACCTCAACGCATGGCTCTGGCTCTGGAACCAGTTTCCTTGGGAGGGGCTGGACACTCTACCACTCTGGAGTTCCTCCCAATGAGAGGCGCCGAGCAGGGGTGGGCATAGTAGTTGCCCCCTCATCTTGGCGCATGTACATTGGGGTTTACCCCAGTGAATGAGAGGGTAGCCTCCCTCCGCCTACGTGTGGGGTGACGGGTGCTGACTGTTGTCTGTGCTTATGCACCAAACTGCAGTTCAGACTACCCACTCAGGGTGCAGGAGAGCGCTTCTTTTGGTGACTCCCTCTTTCTTCTGGGGGTCTTTAACGCTCACGTGGCCAACAACAGTGAGACCTGGAGAGGTGTGGTTGAGAGGAATGGCCCCCCTGATCTGAATTCGAGCGGTGTTTTGTTACTGGACTTCTGTGCTCGTCATGGATTTCAAGTTCAGTTCAATCCAAGTTTTTTTATTCATATAGCGCCAAATCACGACAAGAGTCGTCTCAAGGCACCTCACACAGTAAACATTCCAATACAGGTCAGTTCATTAAGCCAATCAGAAAAAAGGTTCTTCTATAAGGAACCCAGAAAATTGCATCAAGTCACTGACTAGTGTCAGTGACTATACAGCAATCCTCATACTAAGCAAGCATTTGGCGACAGTGGAGAGGAAAACTCTCTTTTAACAGGAAGAAACCTCCAAATGGCTCGGTATAAGCAGCCATCGGCCACGACTCACTGGGGATGGATGGAGAAGACAGAGCACACACACACACACACACACAACATATATACCAAGTAGTGTGTCTATGGTTACATTGTGATTTCTTAGTAAATATTCTATTCAGTGAGAGATAAACTTTATTGTATTTATCCTAGTGAATCTATAATTAAACGGGTAAACTAGTAGTAGCACATTCGATATCAAAGAAAGTATAATTGTTTGTCCATAATGAACACCATGTTCAAATATAAAGGTGTCCATTTGGATACCTTAGACCGTACCTCTGATCTGTGCTTGCATGTCTTGGACACTCAGGTGAAGAGAGGGTACCAGCTGTCAACTAACCATTATCAGGTGGTGAGTTGGCTTCAGTGGTGGGGGAGGATGCTGGTCAGACCTGGCAGGCACAAGTGTATTATGAGGGTCTGCTGGGAACGTCTGGCGGAGTCTCCTGTCAGAAAAAGTTTCAATTCTCACCTCCAACAGAACTTTAAAAATGTTCTGGGGGAGGCAGCGACCATTAAGTCTGAGTGGGCCATGTTCTGTTCTTCCATTGTCGAAGCAGCCGACCGGAGCTGCAGCTGCAGGGTCGACGGCGCCTGTCGTGGTGGAAATCCCCGAACCCGCTGGTGGACACCGAGGGTTAGAGATGCCGTCAAGCTGAAGAAAGAGTCCTATCAGGTCTTTTTGGCCTGTGCGACTCCAGAGGCAGCTGATAGGCACTGGCAGGCCAAGGGGAATGCAGCTCGGGTGGTCACTGAGGCAAAAACCCAGGTGTGGGAGGAGTTCAGTGAGACCATGGAGCAAGACTTACATACGGCTTCGAGGAGATTCTGGTCCACCATCTGGCGCCTCAGGAGGGGAAAGCAGTGTTCTACCAACACTAGTGGGGTTCGCGGTGTGCTGCTGACCTCTACTCGGGACATTTTTGATCGGTGGGCATAGACCTCCATAATCCCACCGGCACCTCTTCTAGTGAAGAAACAGGGTCCAGGGCTTTTGAATTGGACTCTCCAATCTCTGGTGCTGAGGTCACTGTAGCATGGTCGAAAAGCTCCTTGGTGGCAAGGCTCCGGGGGTGGACGAGATCCACGCAGAGTTCCTCAAGGCTCTGGATGTTGTGGGGTTGTGTTGGCTGACACGGCTCTGCAGCATCGTGTCGATATCGGGGGCAGTTCCACCGGATTGGCAGACCGGGGTGGTGGTCTCCCTACAACTACAGGAGGACCACACTCCTGAGCCTCCCTGGTAAAGTCTATTTTGGGGTTCTGAAGAGGAGGGTCCGGCGGATAGTTGAACCTTGGATTCAGGAGGAACAATGTAGTTTTCATCCTGGCCGTGGAACACTGGACCAGCTCAATACCCTTAAGAGGGTCCTGGAGAGTGCATGGGAGTTCCCACAACCAGTCTACATGTGTTTAGTGGATTTGGAGAAAGCGTTCGACCGCATTCCTCAGGGGGTCCTTTGGAGGGTACTTCAGGAGTATGGGGTACCAGGCCCTCTGATAAGGGTTGTTAGGTCCTTGTATGATCAGTGTCAGAGCTTGGTCTGCATTTCCGGTGAGAGTTGGGCTCGCCAAGGCTGCCCTTTGTCACCGATTCTGTTCATAACTTTTATGGACAGGATTTCAAAGGAGCAGCCAAGCTGTTTAAGTATCTCTGGGTCTTGTTCAAAAGTGAGGGAAAGATATAGCGAGAGATCGAAAGCAGTGATGTACCGATCTGTCGTGGTGAAGAGAAAGCTGAGCCAGAAGGCAAAGGTGTGTGTGTGTGTGCATGAGTGAGTGAGTGAGTGATATGTACCTATCAGGATTCCCCTGGAGGAGCTGGCTCAAGTGGCTGGGGAAAGGGAAGTCTGGGCCTCCCTGCTTAGGCTACTGCTCCCATGACCCGACCCCCGATAAGTGGCTGAAAATGGATGGATGGATGGATGGAGTGAGGGATGGATGGATTGATGGATGGAGTGAGGGATGGATGGATGGATGGACGGAGGGAGGGAGTGAGGGAGTGAGGAATGGAAGGATGGATTGATGGATGGATGGAGGGAGGGAGGGAGGGAGGGAGGGAGGAAGAGGTGGTTGGATGGATGGATGGACAGACACTGGATAGATGAATGGAATGATGGATGGGTAGATGATGGATGGATGGATGGTTGGATGGATGGATGAATGGAAGGATGGATGGTGGGAGTGGGGAATGGATGGATGGATTGATGGATGGAAGGAGGGAGAGGTGGTTGGATGGATGGATGGACAGACACTGGATAGATGAATGGAAGGATGGATGGATGGATGGAGGGAGGGAGAGGTGGTTGGATGGATGGATGGACAGACACTGGATAGATGAATGGAAGGATGGATGGATGGATGGAGGGAGGGAGAGGTGGTTGGATGGATGGAAAGACACTGGATAGATGAATGGAAGGATGGATGGGTGGATGATGGATGGGTGGATGAATGGAAGGATGGATGGTGGGAGTGGGGAATGGATGGATGGATTGATGGATGGAGGGAGTGAGGAATGGAAGGATGGATTGATGGATGGATGGAGGGAGAGGTGGTTGGATGGATGGATGGACACACTGAATAGATGGATGGAAGGATGGATGGATTGATGGATGGATGGAGGGAGGGAGAGGTGGTTGGATGGATGGATGGACAGACACTGGATAGATGAATGGAAGGATGGATGGAAGGATGGATGGATGGATGGAGGGAGGGAGAGGTGGTTGGATGGATGGATGGATGGATGGAGGGAGGGAGTGAGGGAGTGAGGAATGGAAGGATGGATGGAGGGAGGGAGGGAGGGAGGGAGGAAGAGGTGGTTGGATGGATGGATGGACAGACACTGGATAGATGAATGGAATGATGGATGGGTGGATGATGGGTGGATGGATGGTTGGATGGGTGGATGAATGGAAGGATGGATGGTGGGAGTGGGGAATGGATGGATGGATTGATGGATGGATGGAGGGAGAGGTGGTTGGATGGATGGATGGATGGACAGACACTGGATAGATGAATGGAAGGATGGATGGAAGGATGGAGGGAGGGAGAAGTGGTTGGATGGATGGATGGACAGACACTGGATAGATGAATGGAAGGATGGATGGATGGATGAATCAGGCAGTTTGTTAACTTTCTTGATAAAAATGCAACAACAGCTCAGTGTAAAGAACAGCCTTGGAAATCTTCCAAGAGAAATCCCCAGAACCTCCTCCCACTCTGCTCCTCAAACAAACACGCGTTGTCAAGGAAACCAAACTGACTGACATCTCCGCACTCAGACAACAAACATTTCCAAACAGAACAAAACTAACTCCTGACAGAACACGCACACAACTCCTTAAACGTAACCTAAACGACGACAGAACGGAACACGCTGTACGTTCCTCTACGATTTTTATGAATCAGTTCTTTCTGACGGGCACCTCTCCTCCGTCCCAGCCGCACAGACCACCTCTCCCACTTTCTCCCAGGCAGTATTCTCCCTTTTACTGGTTACTCCTGAGCAGACAGAACGTCTGCAGCCAGTGCCTCGATCTTTCTGTCACTGAAGTTTGTTTTTATTCTCAGGAGGAATTCAGGGATTTTCTTTGTGATCTGAGGACATGGTGTGACCAAATGTGGTCAATCGAGGGTGTTTCTGCATGTAAATCACAGTGAAAGGAGACAAGCACCTGGGTACGCACATGTAGGATTTATCAACAGTCGAATGTGGAGGAAGATGGCCAGAGAGAGAGAGGCCACCGCACGTTTCATAAATCAGGATTGTGTCTGCGTACAAATATTCTAAATTTCATTCGTAGGAAGGAATTTATGTGAGTTTGTACGAACGTTTGATAAACGAGGGCCCCGGTGAGCTGATGTGAGCGTGTTTCTGTCCCAGTAAAAAGTACCAACTGCTGTACATGCATCACAGCACACACCCCTGTTCCCACTTCCTGTTCCATAAAGTTACTGTTTCTGATTTTAATGTCTTAATTAGCTTTTATGTACAACACGTGGTATTTAGCCTTAGACATGATGAGGTTTTTTTCTAATTACAGAACTAAAATAAGATCTGTGTCATAATAAAAGCATCTCTGTGGCTCTGATGAGTCTGTTGGTCTTATTTTCATGTTTCTGGACTTAGTGAAAGTCTTTAATTTGTCTAAGGAGCAGTTTTTATGAAGCCGTTCAGGATCACAGCAGGTCGAGAGCAAAGCTGCAGCAAACAGTGGTCTCAGACTTTTCTGTCAGGTGTTTCTATGGTTACGATAGTCTTCTAACTGATGGAGCTCATTCTTCATCATCCATGTTGGGTTTGTCCTCGAGCCCCTGGAGGATGGGCCGCAGGTTCTCAGCGGGATTCAGGTCTGGGGAGTTTCCTGGACCTGGACCCAACATGATGATGTTCTGGAGCTGATCTACCTGACTCAGATCTTCTGGAAACCTGCAGGAAAATTGATCAAGATCTTGTAACGGGTACCTGCAGGTTTAAAGGAGCCAAATTTAAGACTTTTTAATACATTTTTTACTGCCACTTTGATCAAATTTAAGCTATTTTTTTAATTAAATTTAAGCTATAATTTCCAGCTATTGCCTGGAACCGGTGGTAACCACGTCGCGAACGTGGGATTAGCCATCCAGTTACCATTAAAGACGTGGTAATGTCCCCCTCAGAGTCTTACCCCACCCACGTATCAATTTTAAAAACTGCAACATTAGTAGGCGTTGCCTGGAGGACCGAGAGGGCAGAGCCGCGGCAGTGACGAAGATGATGGCTAACTAGACGATGCTAGCTCCCTTCACTCTGAGCAGTTATTAGAAGTGGAGGACGTTTCTCCCCCTCCTTACCCAGACACTCAAGAAGAAAGGGACCAAGTCTATTTGGAGGAGACAAGCGGACCTGAGCCTTATTGTTTTGAGCTTGTGAGTTGCCTGAAACTAGCAGAACCGACCCAACAGAACCAGCTCTGAATGGTAAGTAGCCGTTAGCCATAGCATTGGATTAGCGGCAGGGTTTGGCTCCACGGCCCTGGAGAGCTAGTATTCAGCATGTTTTAGAGGTTTATCTGCTTCAACACACCTGGTTTTAATCAGCAACAAATAGCTGAGCTGCTTAACAGCTAATCTAACCCGTTAAAGCAGGAAAATCCACTGAAACGTGCTGGATAGCAGCTCTCCAGGAGCCCTGGGCTCAAGTTACAGTCTGCTGCATAGAAAGTTATGAAAATACCCCATGAGAAAATTATTCTGTAATGTGTTCAGCCCACTAAAACTGCCCTGATTTATTTATTTACTGATAACAGCTGCTCTCTTGGTTCTAGGTCCTCTGGTGTCTGCAGCTGGTCTCCTGCTGGTGTCGTCAGGATCCGGAGCTTCCAGAAGAATGTGCCTTTCAATGACTCATTCCCCCTTATTTGTTATATTAATTAAATAAATCTCAATTGATATATTTCCTGTTTTTGTTCATGTCCATAAATACTTAAACATGCTTGAAATTAAAACGAGCTTTTAACAGTGAGGTGCTAGTTTAATTCATCACAATAGAGCTAGTTAAACATGCGACAATGTGATAATCAATGAGATGCAGAAAGAAAACAGATCCAGGACAGTGTACAGTAATCTGTGGTGTTGCTCACCTTATGTGCTCTTATAGAGTATTAACGTGTGCCTGCCTCATGGTGTAGAGTCCACATTTTGCTGAGTGTCCTGCAATAATGCAGGTTATTAGTTAATTTACTTTTGATAGCAAAAACAAAATATTTAATGTAAAAGTTATTTACCAGGTGAATCAGCTCACACGTCACCACCAAGTGCCACAGGGCCAGAATCAGTAGCCTCCTTCATGATGTAATCACATACTTATTTAATTGTTATTATCTTAAAAATTCTGAAATGTTTTAATTTTTTTTACCTTGAACAGTTCACTGAGCTTGCACTGTCACTGAGGTGGAAGCTGGAATCAACAGCAAACACCTCACATCTTGGTCTTTTCAGGGGTGTGGACGCAGCTCTAGTACATTCTGGAAGATGAATTTCCGTCATGGTCCCCGTGTCACAAGACACACTGAGGCTGTGAGCTCCATTCTGGCTGGCTATGTAAAAAACAAAGAAGCAGCACATTTATAAATGTTTAAAAGAGCATAAAATCACGTGTAACAATAATCTGTAAAACAAATTAAAACTAGAAGGTAATAATAAAATGTTTACATAGAAGATTATTAAAAATAATTCACCTTTGCTACAGGTAAGGCTTCACGTCAGCCTGGACAAGTGCATTCTTGCAGCTAAATCAGACTGACAGCCAGTGTCTTGGGTAGATTTAGCCTGAAAAAAAATATATAAGCACATTGTTGTTGGGAGTTTATAAAGTCAGATAAAATACAAAAGAATCTCCTATATAGGCGCTTTATAACATTCCTAGTGTGTGATCATTATAACGTAAAAGTCAGTCACACATGATGTGGAGAGCCTGAAATGCGACCTCCTGAACAGAATTCCTCACAGAACCGGGTCACAAGCTGGATTTCACGCTGTAATGCTGTCTGTCAACTAGTGCTGCGTCAGTTAGAGCCACTGTTGCAGAATTACCGACTGACTAGCTAAAGGAAGTGAAACACGTCTCTTAAACTTTGCATTTAGGTAGGGAATTGTCTTTAGAAGATGTTAAAACGTTTATTACTCACCTCAGACTGGAGCCGCCGTGGTGGGGGAGCAGAGTCGGTGGGCTGCATCTAAATCGCGGAAGAGCCACGGTGGGCAGCCTCCCTCTTCAAACGGAGACGTGCAGAAGCGCGGGTAAAATGCTGGTTGCAAACTACAGCACCAGGCGGGAGCTGAATATTTTCCAGACACCGATTGCGTGCAACCACTGGCGCCTCATTTCTAAGTCCAGCGGAAAGGAGTGCAACCCCACAGAGCCACCGCAACCATACTACACTACACCATCTCACCATGCTAACATGATATGGAGCACTAAACCCGAACTACTTTCCTAATTACACTAACAGCCAAACACTAACTAAACTACAATATCCAACAGCCAAGCTAACACTAAATAAGTATATATAACACTAAATCTATGCTAAAGATTAGGATATGCTAATGCTATATGCTAATGCTGAACTACCGCTAACCGTCCTACACTCGCTTGCAAATCCAACTCCCAACTCGCCACAAGGCGTGGCCGAGACTCTCGACGCTTTTATAACGTTGACACAGAGCTGCTACGTAGTACTCTACTGGTTTACGTAGTATCTTACTCTTTAGCCATTGGCTAAAATTTATTCAAAATGAGTCAAATTCTATGTTTTAAGCTGAAGGTGGCGCTATACTGTGGTATTTAGGCAGAATTTTACATTTTTAAAGAAAATGCACCAAAATGCTAACATAATGAATACACACATTTAAAACACTATTAGACACTCATTTATACAGTTCATCAGCAAGAAAAAGTTAATTTAGACGTTACTTGCTCTTTAAACTTGCACTTCCCCATGACGCAAGCTCCCACTAGCTTAACCAGCTAATGAGCTCATCTAAAAATAGCCCCCTTTCACAACCAACTGAATGTGTGTGGTTCCGCTTATGTCAATATCATACATAAAAAATGCTGAAGACTAACTAGAAATTCACGAAAATTTTATAGAAAAAAAATTTGTTTATTGGGTCTTTGGTCATTTAAGACCTTTGGAAACTGCTTTTAAGGATTATTTGTCGTTTTTAAGGATTTTTAAGGCCTTAAATTTGGAAAAGCTTTTTAAGGACCCGCGGACACCCTGTGTAAAAATATAATTCGGGTTATTTTAGAGTGAAAAGTTGGATGACTGTTCGACTTTTAGTTTTATTATTTTGAGCTCCATCTGCAGCTCCAGGGTCGCCCGTCTCCTCTGGCTCCCCCTACTGGCTGCATTTAGCCTAAACACAATTTTTCTCTTACAGATGAAATAAAAACACACATTCTTATCTATCAATCAACAGAATATGGAGTAGACAAATGAAACTCTGAATATGCTTTGGGGTTGTTCTCATGAAGCTGCAACATCAAAGCAAGCTTTCACCTAAAGTGTGTTTTACTCCTCCCACACGTCAGTCACAGCAGGACCATTAAGCTTCAGCACGTCTGATCTGGAAGCTTTCACCATCACATTTCCTAATGGAGGTGGGTCAAACGCAGCAACACACTTAGAGGTTTGTGCATTTCAACATAACCTCTTTCTGCGTGTCAGAGGATTACAATAATCTGCTTTCCTCCCCCACAACGCCCCCACTCCGGCCTCTGTGGGGCCAAAAGGTGTGTGTGTGTTCATGTGTGTGAGGATAAAAACTGCCCGCACGGATACCGGCATCAAACATGAGGCATTAATACTGGCACAGCTGATTTATTTTTCCTGGTTCAACATATAACTGGTTATAGAGTACATTTTTACTGAGAATAAGAACAACTTACAGTAGTGGTAACAAGCGTTAGACAGGTTTTTATTTTTTAACAAAAAAGGCTGAAAGTTCTGTGCAAAAATAACAGCAAACATAAACTGTTGTGTCCCGCATTTGGCAGTAGCTCCACAGGCTCCTACTGTAAACACACACACACACACACACACACACACACACACACACACACACACACACACACACACACACACACACACACACACACACACACACACACACACACACACACACACACAGAGCTACAGAGAAATATCCAACATTTAGCTATAAACGGTAAACATGCATCATCCAACTGAACACCACTGCTAGAGATGAAGCAAATGTAAATGACATTAATTTTTAAGAAGCCCTTCAGGTGGAATCATCCATGTGAAAACCACTTCCTGGTTTTGGTCTGAATGTGTAAAGATGACATCATCATGTCTGCTGCTGCTGCAGCTGACCGACTAGGGTCAAGAAAAGAGTCATGACTCAGGTCAGTTTCCGTTTGCTTCAAACTGGTCATGATGGACGGAGTTTGTTTTGATGTTGGGTGACCGTGCCGTGGAAGACAGAAGACGGGAGTTGCCGGATTCTGAGGGCGTGGTGATTGGACGCCAGCTGGTCCTTGTTACGGGTAACGAGGCCGGAGAGAACAAGAGGGCGGCAGATCTACCGAGGTGGTGTGTGTGGTCGACCTGTCGTCGTGGCACCAGATTCTGGGGGGTGGGGTCAATCGCAGTCGTTTAGGACTGCCGGCGATGAAGACAGTTGAGCAGGTGGGCAGTGTTCCAGCGCTAGGAGGGAAGGCTTGACGCCTTCTTTAGGTAGCGAGGGCTGGGAGTAGCTGGGTGCCGAGACCACGCCGACATCTGCCGCCACAGACTCTGGCAGCCGGACCCAAGATGTGGATTTACCCGCCGTCCTCGCAAGCTGAGCCCCGGGGCGTTGGACGGTGTCGGTAGCTCAGACCCCGGGGAGGGGGGGTCGCATCAACTGGGACAGCTAAGTACCTCTGCTCGTCTTTATACATGCTGATCAGCTGGCTTTTAGTGTGAAGGACTCGTGTTTTATTATTGCCGGTGTGAATAAAGGCTCTTTTGAATAAGTTGTTGCCTACTGGTGCTGTTTTCAGGTTCTGGCTGGAGGGCAAGACATTCTGCCCGTGCTCCCACTGAAACCTTCATTACAATACAAACGGCCTTCGAGCAGATCCTTTACCTGAAGACACACACCTGGTAGAAGCCCTTTTATAATCACACCAGGAAGAAAGAACACACAGATGTGCGTTTTTTAGGCCATTTTTAAAACATTAGTCTGATCTGAGATACGAGCGTCATCACAACCCAGAGCCGCCATGTGCAGCGTCTGGGAGAAATGAGATGATCTAAGAGTGACTCGGTGGTTTCGGGTGTTTTCTACGAGGCTTACGTTATTTTACCTAAACAAGTCAGAGCGGGACACAAAGGATGTAGCAGTTAAAAGAGGAAGCACGTTTAAAGACTTGGGTAAAACTAGTCCAAGTCCACCCGGACCTGCAGCAAAAACACAAGAGCGTTTAAAAGAGTTCCCGTTTCAGAGTTCCATAGAGAGCTTTTCATCATAAACATTTCAAACGTTCGTGTTCCACATGGTGAAATTCATAAATACATACATAAACAAGCAGAGTCCTGGCTGTGAGGTCCAAGCTCTACAGATCAGGATCAAAAGCAGAGAAGCGCGACGGTGGCGATCAGTGTGCTTGAACACGTTCTGATCAACTCAACCACAAGTTAAAAACTGGTTTAAATGGTTAAAACACGAAACTCGGTTTGTGAGCATTTAAGTCAAAGCAAATTAAAAATCTGCTGCAAATCACAGAAAAACGACTACAAACATTTTGATATATTGGGATAAAATCATGCATCAGAGCTTTCCTCAAACCAGCATCACGCTTCCAACAATACGGCGGGTAATCTCATGTTGCATTGTGGGTAGAGACTAGTGTCCATGTAATCCTGATCCGTAGAACCTGAAGCTCTAACTGAAGGTTGTGGTTCCGTGTCACCGTCCACACTTACAATCTGATTAATGTGAACACAAAGACCGCAGACCTGTGATAATATAAAGAAACGTGAAGTTTCCACACTGCTTGTGAATGTCTACTGGACAAAAACCAGATAATCGATAACCAGTCCCTCTGCTCTCTTCCAGAACCTCCTGACCTGCTATGTGACCGTATAGAGTTCCTCCTTGTTGCTCTGGCAGAGTGTATATCCACAAACCCGAGGCCTCCAGCTCCAGCTCCAGCCTCTGCTCCAGCCCAGCTCCTCAATGTTCTTCTCCTTGGGCGGTAGCAGGAACACCACGCAGCTGGCCACCAGGATGTGCCACAGCGAATGTGTGTAGTAGTAGTTGTCCTCCGTCTCAGCAAAGATGTACAAACAAACCCCGACTAGAGCGCAGAGCAGTCCGGGGATCAGGAAGAAGACCCAGCGCTGCCAGGAAGGCGGGTAGCAGCGTCTGCGACGGACCCCTCGGTACACCTGAGACGTCCAGACACAAAAGGACAGGTTCGGGTTTGTTACATCAGGAATAAGAACTTCATCTGGTTCTGACGAGTCTCCTACCCAGGTAATGACCATGAAGAGTATGGCACAGAGGATGGGGCCCAGCAGGTTCCACAGGCCTTTCCGGTCCAGTTGCATCGACATGGCTATGAGTAAGGCCCCGAGCATAAACAGGGTCTACGCACGCATTCATTCATTCATTCATGCATTCATTCATTCATGCATTCAAGCACACAAGGAAGAAATAGCCAATATAAATACTTAGAAAAACAGAAATCCCTTCAATATGAATATTTCAATGAGGTGTTTTAGATCAAACTCCTGTTAAAACACACACACACACACACACACACACACACACACACGTTTGAACTCTACAGATTCTGAATGAGCTACAGAAAAATATCCAACATTAAGCAATAAACGAGTAAACACCATGGTAAACACGCATCATCCAACTGAACACCAGTGCTGCAGCTGAGGTAGAAGAAGAGGGCTGGAGCACTCGGGCCAAACAAGAATATTTCATCGGTGCAAATAAAACAACTAACGTTTCGACAATATCCAACATTTGTCTTTAGAGCTAGTCTCGTGATGCTGTAAAGCCTAAAACATCCAGAGTTCACCTTTTAATGAGGCTGCAGTTTCTGAATTGTGTCAGCAGGTGGCAGGATTTAGCAGTTTAGTGGCGATTAAAGTTTATGAGAAGGTAGAGGAGGGTTTGGGTCAGGTCTGTTTAATATAAGAAATCATAATAATAAAAGTTACTTTATTACAGTAATCCCTCGCTACTTCGCGGTTCGTTCATCGCGGATTCGCTGCTTCGCGGATTTTTTCTTTGGAGCATTTTTCAGGGGGAATTCGCAGATTCGCGGTATTTTTCACTGATTCGCGTCGGTGAAATGCCGGCTGATATAGGAAACCCCCGAGCGTTCGAGCGTCAACGAAGTGACACGGAAATGCCGGGCTTTCCAGTAGTAAGTAAGATAACTTACTATGAGCTGATAGTTCGTTGGATTGATCGGTAGGTTGGAAACTCTGATCATGAATCTGAAGAAACGATGACTGAGTGGTGAGCTGGAAAGGCGACTTCCGTTTATAGCCGCGGTTTGTGACGTAGGTGCGACGTGGAGGGAATCCCCGCGAGGGGCATGCTGGGAGTCCCTACTTCGCGGATTTTCACCTATCACGGCCAGGTCTGGAACGCATCTACCGCGATAAACGAGGGATCACTGTATCTATGAGGATAAAAAAGCTCTGGCGCTCGTTTACAGCATCACAAGACTAGCTCTAAAGACAAACGTTGGATATTGTCAAAACATTAGTTGTTTTATCTGCACCGATTAAATATTCTTGTTTGACCCGAAGCTCAGCAGTGACCCCACCCCCACCTCACAGGAGCATAAAATGTCGTTTCAAATTTTGTTCATTTGAGACATAAACTTCCAGTGTGTTTTGCCCTCACTCTGCCATCTCTACTTGTTTAAAACGCCACACACACACACAGATGGAGAACAAAATGAGCCAAATGATTTATACATTTCATGTAAATCAAAGATTATGAGTGAAGAAGGGGGATCCATCTCTTACATATTTAATTAGGTCTCTGACACGAGCCATGCACAGAATGGTGACCCAGATGGAACAGATCGACCCCAGGAAGTCACAGTACTGCAGGGTATCGTAGTCCATTATACACAGAACCGCTACACCTGGCTGGTCACAGGCGTGGTAGAACTAGAGAAAACAGGTGAAAGGTGAGGACGGCGGAAATGCACAGGCGTACAAATGTTATGGTGTGTTTTACCGTGGAGAAGAACATGGTGAAGAGGTAGATGGAGGCCTCTGTGAGGTAAGAGCGTCTGACGGCCACCACGATAGCGGGAAGGAAGAACAGATTGCTGAGCGTGAGCAGCAGGATCGCAGTTATTTGGTGTGCGTACGACTGGGCCGAGGAGTCGTCGGTGCAACCCCAGCCCTTCCAGCCTGCAGGAACCCAGATGAAATAAACTCGTGTCCACGATCACACGCAGACAGATCAAAGTGTGGACGTGTGTGGTACCAGCCGTGCAGACGCAGGCGGCGTACAGATAGCTGTAGGACCTCAGCAGGCGACATTCACCATATGGCCCACAGTCCTCCACACAGGCACTGAGGAACACCTCTGGGACCACAGACACCACCGACGTGTTGCCACAGTCACCGCTGGGGAGGGGTGAAACGCACAATATCAGAGCTTGTATAAAATAAAATGAATTTTTTCAGAAGAGGAGAGTGTCTGCAGAAATAAAAGCCAGCAACACACTAAGGCAGCAGGGCTGTGTGTGTTACCTGTTGCAGGTGAGCTGCAGAGTGAGGTACCATGTTGTGGACTGAGGAAAGGGCAGCCTGACCACGGCTTTTGGAGCACTGACGTTCACACCAATACTGAATCCTCCAAACAGAGCTGCGGGTAAAAATCACATTTATTCAGGTTCGTTTAATAAATCTGGGTTTTTACCATCAGCTTAAACAACAGGAACCTGAAACAAAACGTACGCCCCCTAGTGGCTGTCTACAATAAATGCACCATGTCCAGCCTCCTCCATAACAAGGAAAGGAGTTCCCAGAAAACTGGTCCTGTCGACTCGAGCACATTGATGAGTAAGTATACACACATGTGGTATCGACTCAACACCCGACGCCGGTATCGGCACCCCTACTTCTGTCCTTTTAAATGCAGACTTGCAAGAGATCACAGTTCGATCATCAGATTGTTGTTGTGCCACTCTGATTAACTGAACTGCGGCATCACCGAGAGACTACAAAAGGAGAAGGCGAGATAAACGTGGCCTTAGGGACCCTAACCCCATCATCACAATATTGTTGCAATTGAAAGTTGGAGGTTTCTTCCTGTTATAACTAGGGATGGGTACCTTTGACATTTGAATCGATTCGGTACTAATTCCCGGTACCTAGGAATCGATACCGGTACTTAACGGTACCAATTTTCGATACTTTTGAGTGTTTATTATTTTAATTCTCTTTTATAATTAAATATATATTTTTCTCAATATATAACCATATTTGATAAATATCACAATAAACAACATACAACTGTTTGTATTTTAACATCGTCCTTGTAGTTTTATAAGCTGATAATTAAACTGAAGCAAACATCTTTACTGTGAACTAAATTTACTGTATCTTCATTCCTTTTGCCGTCTTTTTTCATTTGATTTTTCCTACTGGGAAGTTAGAATTTCCGAGGAGAAAGCGAACGCACCATTAGCTGATAACAATGGTAGCAATGGAAGCTAACATATCAAGCTACGTTATCTTAAACAGTTTATTTAGCTGCTGGAGCAGATTAAAACGATGATGCCTCACACTTAGATCATTGTCGCTGGTTTCATCTTCACCCAATCACCCGTCGCATTTAGTAAAGTGAAGCCAAACTTTAGAGCGCGTTCATGTTCTTCTAGTCGGAAATTTCAGAGTTCCGAGGAGAAAGCGAACGCACCATTAGCGGAACCGAAGCTAACATTAACAGCAGATTAAGATGAGGATGTCTCACTTAGATCGTTGTCGCTGGTTTCATCATCACCCAGTTACCCATCACATTTAGTGAAGTGGACCCGAGCTTTAGCGTGCGTTCTTTCTACCATGCTGCTCTGTTTACAACTGGCTCGCAGCGACCGACGACATAACGCTCTTGCGCATGCGCAGCTGTCTAGGCAAGTTCTCGTTATGAAGGACGGGTACCGAAACGAGGCACCGTTTCAAATGACGTGAATCGGTGCTCAGTCGGTACTATGGAATTCCGTCGGTACCTTAAAAAGTACAGAATTCGGTACCCATCGCTAGTTAAAAGTGAGTTTTCCTCTCCACTGTCGCTTTATGCTTGCTTAGTGTGAGGATTGCTGTAAAGACTCTGACACTAGTCAGTGACTTGATGCAATTAGCTGGGTTCCTTATACAGGAAACTTTTTTCTGATTGGCTTAATGAACTGACCTGAATTGGAATGTTTATTATGTGAAGCGCCTTGAGACGACTCTTGTTGTGATTTGGCGCTTTATAAATAAACTGAATTGAACATTTGATGACATCTTCCATCTTCACATGCACTCGATAGGTGGAACCTGCAGCAGATTTAAGCTGATTAAATTAATCAAAGGTCGTCGATTGTTTTAATCAGCCTGCATCTGAACTGGGCGGTGCACGTCTAATTAGCCAGTTTGAGGGTGGGGGTGCTTTACTGAAAGTCGGCAGGACGAGGCAGATAAAACATTACAGTGAGGCGGTTTACCTGTGCGACAGCGTTGAGAGTGGTTGAGTTCAAGGACTGGAGTCCAGGGAGAGAAACAGGCCACCACGTTGCTGCTGTTGGACACGGTTGCATTAGTCTACGGGTTAAAAAAACAGGGAACCATGACAGTTTATCATCCTGCTCTCGGATCGAGCTGCATGTGATTTAGCGAGTCGGCGTTACTCACAGAGTTGAGTGTGAGCTGCAGGTTGAGAGTTCCCCCGCTGGCGTGTGTGTGCAGCGGGTAGCTGAGCAGCATCGGGTGAGTGTTAGTGATGCTGATGTTGGGCCCACTGACGGGTGTGAAGCGGAGGGACAGAACATCCAACTCCTCGAACAACACGGGAACAGTCCCCACACACGCAGACACCGGCCGCTGTGACACCTGAGCCAAGGAATGGTTGCTAACGGTGACCGTGTCTGAAACCACCGAGATGTTGCTCACTGGGTTAGCGGGGCTGCTGTTGCCACGGAGCTTAGCGAAGTCGTCGTCTGCTTCGAGGCCGACACTTTTTGGCTTGCATCCCACTGAGAGAAAGTAGAAGACAATTGCACAGCAGAGCATTAGAGTGAAGCTGTGTGTGGAGCTTCAGTCTGAGCCTTCCTAAGCTCACCTGTGTAGTTTGAGACTACTTTAAAGGTCACAGTGCGATTTGCTTGGCTGCTCTCCACAACAACACGTAACCAGGTGTTCCATGGTGGGTTAGGGAGGGATGCAGAGCAGCGGATCCCAGAGCAGTTTACCCTCACAGGGTCCAGCTGCAGAGATGCACAGCCAAGTCTGAGGACCAGTGAACAGTTTTCATTCTCTGCTGCCTCCCCCGATGAGCAGTCAGCCACGGATACAGAGAGAGACGAGGCAAACTCTGGAACATATAACCTAGGACACAAACAACTCCATTCAGGGGTCTACTTCAACTCAATCAGCACACATGGAAGCAAACATGAATATGTGAATTACTTAAGGCGTGCAGGTCCGTCAGGGGCTGCGGTCTGTGTTAGGAACGCGTCTGGCTGTAGGACGGGCATGTCCACCGCTCTCCTGATAGACAGCTGAGGCTGGAAGAAGTAGGAGCAGGATGGGAAACCCTAAAAACAACAATATTAAAAAGAAAATTGAGCAGAATGTGATCACAGAGACACACTCATTTCAGGTGTGTCCAGTAATCAGCATCACAGTTGTCTCCAGTATGGAAGGTAGACACAGTGCTGTTTGGTATCAGGGTGTGTACCACACTGAACATGGACCACAGACAGCTAAAGGACAGAAGACCATATCAGCTAAAGATTACTCAGAAAAGGTCCGAGGGTCTGCAGACAACCTCACTAGAAATAAATGTGGTTGGGCTGCGTTGGACCAAACGATCTGGTTAGGCAGGTTGGAGAAAGGAAGATGTTTACAACAGATTTACTGGAACACTGATTCTGTCTGATACAACACTCCAGCTGGCTATTAGCTGCACAAAGGCTCTTCCAAACATGGCCTATTTAAATGTCACCGAGTATTGTTGGGGTAATGAGTCACACCCATGTGTTTGCCCCTGCAGCAATGCTTGTATGTTCTAAAATACTTCTTCACATCCAAATCCTTTAAAACACAAGACACAGCTCAAATGTCTTCCTCTCTAAATAGTGTTGGATTACCAGCAGACCCGGCTTAGAGTCGCTGCTGTTGAAACAGAAACAAGAAATCAGATATTTGGAGAATGCACAAGTCAGCCAGAGGAGGGTGGCACCAGACGACAGGATTTGGAATCTTATTTTCTGATATTTGGACATCTTGCCACTGATTGGCTAACAGCAACACGACTCTACCACTGACTTTGTTTGCTCTGCAAAAAATCAATTAAGTTTATTTATATAGCGTGTCAGAGACTTTACAGCAATCCTCATACTAAGCAAGCATTTAGTGACAGTGGAGAGGAAAACTCCCTTTTAACGGGAAGAAACCTCCAGAGGATCCTGGCTCAGTATAAGCAGCCATCCTCCATGACTCACTGGAGATGGAGAGGACAGAGCAGAGACACACACACACACACACACACACACACACACACACACACACACACACACACACACACACACACACACACACACACACACACACACACACACACACACACACACACACACACACACACACACACACACACACACACACACACACACACACACACACACCAAGCAATGTGTCTATGGTTACATTGTGATTTCTTAGTAAATATTCTATTTGGTGAGAGATAAACGTTATTGTATTTATCCTAGTGAAGCTATAATTAAACGGGTAAACTAGTAGTAGCACATTCAATGTAAAAGAAAGTACAAAGTTATTATCAGGAGATGGAGAAAGTTTAAGTGGTCAGCAGCAGTGTGCTAGACGATGGCCCCTCCATGAGGCCACCGCAGATCAGCAGAACATCGTTGTAGCTTCTTCTGGGGAGAAAAACACTTAGAGAGAAAATAAAGTTAACAGCTGAAATAGCAGGAAATAATACAGTTAAAGAGCAGATTGTAGAAGAAAGTAGTCGAGTGTGGAAAGTGGTCAGTGTATCCTCCAGCAGTCTAAGCCTATAGCAGCACAACTACAGAGATAACTCTGGATAACCTAGCCTTTTAGATGGAGGCATGTTGGAGGCAGGGCAAGGGAGAGCCGTCTTTACCGACTGTACACTCCACCTCCCTCTACTCCCCCACTTGTCCAGATTTAGGCTAACATCAGATTTTAACCATAGGCCCTATCAAATAAAAATGTTTTAAGCCTAGTCTTAAAAGTAGACAAGGTGTCTGCCTCACGGACTAAAGCTGGGAGTTGGTTCCACAAGAGAGGAGCCTGATAGCTAAAAGATCTGCCTCCCATCCTATTTTTAGATCTTCTGGGAACCACCAGTAAACCTGCAGTCTGAGAGTGAAGTGCTCGGTTAGGAACGTATGGAACAATCAGATCACTGATGTATGATGGAGCTTGATCATTAAGAGCTTTATATGTGAGAAGAAGGATCTTAAAATCTATTCTGAATTTAACAGGTAGCCAATGTAGGGAAGCTAAGACAGGAGAGATATGGTCTCTCTTTTTAATTCTCATCAGACAACAACAACAACATTGATGGTTAAAGTGGTTCTTAAAAGTCTAGGGCTGCTTGAATATGAGTGGAATTAATTACCGAAATATACCAAAACAAATATTTTTGTACCCTTCAGGCTGGTCTGACTGAGCAGCCACAAAAGGTGGTTTTCAAGGAAACCCTACTCAGTCTACAACAGCTCTGTACAGCGTGGCTTGAGTCAGCCCACCTGAGTGTAATTTTGTTCCCATGCCAGCTCCATGACAGAAAGTGGGTGTCAATCCGTGTAAGGTAACTTGTAGAGGCAGACCGACATGGTTTTTTGAAGGCCGATGCAGATTTCTAAAGAATTTTGTTGTCAGCGGCCGATATCTAAAGCCGATTATTAGGGCTGATATTAGGGCTGCACAATATATCGAAAAATTATCGTCATCGCGATAACAGGACGTGCGATAGGCCCATCGCAAAACATGGCAAAAACAGCGATAAATGTTTAGTTCAAACATTTCCATCCATGTCATACATCAACTTTTTGTAAACCAGCTCTGTTTTTTACGCGGAAGTGTTATTTGACCTATCAAATGTAGTCCTTCTGATATGCGGCTAATCAGATGGTTCCGTTCACGAAATACGCCCGCCCCCTACGTAGACCCTTAGGATGGAACGCAACACCCTAACTGAGTTAGCGGTGCCGTTCCCTTGTTCGTCATGCTGGCTCAGAGCAATGAACGCACTTTGTGCTGAGGTTTCTGGAATCAGCGCTGCTTTCAAACGTGAACGTGAGTCCGCTCGGTGTCGTTAATCATTTTTACCGGGCTGACTCCAACATGTGCCGGTGGACCAACCCTCATTCATGTCGCTAGTGTTAGCCCCAGGCTCCGGTTAGCTTCCAGCTAAAAGGCTACAGCACTCTCCTCCCAGTCCCACCCTGCTAAAGAGGGCCTGGAAAAGTTCCCCCACACATCAAAGTGATTTTTCATTTATGAGCTTTTATAACCTTGTTAATCAGGATAGTTAATTTGCTGCTGCACATAAACTGTCAGTCAGAAGCTCTGCTAGCCGGTTATCTTAAGAGGAGCTAGTTCAATTTGTTAGCTTGTTATCAGAATCATAGTTGCAGTTTCATCCTCTGAGCTGCTTTTTAAGATCTAGGTAAACTTGTTCAATTTGGGGTTAAAAACAAACGTTTTCACATATTTTCCATGTAGTTTTTTTTTGCCAGTTCCTCTTCTGAAAGGTAGACAATTGTTTTTCTCTTTCCCTCAGAAAATCTTAATATTCTCCTAGTTTGGCCCAGCACAGTTCACTTCCCAGTTACAGCAACAGCCTTATATCATAACCACATAAGTGGAGAAAATGTTCAGTATCAATGAGAGAATTTGCTGTTGCATTTAAGTGATGTTAACTATTATTTAACATTTAAGCTTATTTTCTGATATTTTTATTTGTTTATTCTAAAACCCTGGTAAGGGATGTTTTTCTGTATTTGGAGCATCAGAAAAAGTTTTATGGTGGAGGTGACGTTTTAAAGTCACTGAGAAACTGCATGCATGCAGTTTGTTGTTTTGCTGCTAATACAGTAGCAGGTGCAGCTGCTAATACAGTAGCGGGAGCAGCTGCTAATACAGTAGCGGGTGCAGCTGCTAATACAGTAGCGGGAGCAGCTGCTAATACAGTAGCGGGTGCAGCTGCTAATACAGTAGCGGGTGCAGCTGCTAATACAGTAGCGGGTGCAGCTGCTAATACAGTAGCGGGTGCAGCTGCTAATACAGTAGCGGGTGCAGCTGCTAATACAGTAGCGGGTGCAGCTGCTAATACAGTAGCGGGTGCAGCTGCTAATACAGTAGCGGGTGCAGCTGCTAATACAGTAGCAGGTGCAGCTGCTAATACAGTAGCGGGTGCAGCTGCTAATACAGTAGCGGGTGCAGCTGCTAATACAGTAGCGGGTGCAGCTGCTAATACAGTAGCAGGTGTAGCTGCTAATACAGTAGCAGGCGCAGCTGCTAATACAGTAGCGGGTGCAGCTGCTAATACAGTAGCAGGCGCAGCTGCTAATGCAGTAGCAGGTGCAGCTGCTAATACAGTAGCAGGTGTAGCTGCTAATACAGTAGCGGGTGCAGCTGCATGTTTTTGCAATAAAAATGTTATGTTGTAATGGAATTCATGCATTAGTTTTTGTTTGCTTTGAACCCAGAGCAGAGGTCACACGCCAGACGACATCAACACTGCATACTTTAGTATTTGTTCATTTATCGCAAGTAATATCGATATCGCAATATTAAGCACTGTTATCGAATATCGCAGGTTTTCCTAATATCGTGCAGCCCTAGCCGATATATTTATAAATGATAAATGACCCGCACTTGTATAGCGCCTCTCAGAGTAAAGACTCCAAAGCGCTTTACACTACAGTGTAATCCTTTCACACACACATTCACACACTGATGGTGATGAGCTACGATGTAGCTCCAGCTGCCCTGGGGCACACTGACAGGGGCGAGGCTGCCAAGCACAGGCGCCACCGGTCCCTCCGACCACCACCAGCAGGCAAGGTGGGTTAAGTGTCTTGCCTAAGGAAACAACAGCAGAATTCTCTGTCCGGAGCCGGGTTCGAACCTGCAACCTTCCGATTACTGGACAACCCGCTCAACCTGTTGAGCTACTGCTGCCCCAATTTATGTTTTAGCAGCACATTTATTGTGAAAGACAACAGAACACTCACTGTGTGCAATATAAATTAAATAAATCTCTTAATATTCATTGAACTTCAAATGGGCGATGGTGGCACAGGAGTTAATTGCTCGCCCCGTAATCGGAAGGTTGCAGGTTCGAGCCCCGCTCAGTCTGTCCCTGTCGTTGTGTCCTTGGGCAAGACACTTAACCCATGTTGCCTGCTGGTGGTGGTCAGAGGGATCGGTGGCACCAGTGCTCGGCAGCCTCGCCTCCGTCAGTGCGCCCCAGGGCAGCTGCGGCTACATCGTAGCTCATCACCATCAGTGTGTGAATGTGTGTGTGAATGGGTGAATGACTGATTGTGTTGTAAAGCGCCTTGGGGGGTTTCAGGACTCTAGAAGGTGCTATATCAAATACAGGCCATTTTATAAATGTAAAACTAACTATAAACATTTAAATAAACGGTGAGTTGGGGTTCTTCGGGTCCTTTCTTCAGTCTAGTAGTGCCCACACAGGTGCCTGATTTTATTATTATTATTTATTTTTAAATAATTTCGGTCGATGGCCGATATAGAAAAATTTTATAAATCGGCCCGATATTTTGGTCGGCCTGTAGTAACTTGTATGCTCCACAGAAACAACTCAGCTGAAAAATGGTGGTGTTGCTGGACCTTTTGCTCAGCTTTATGACTTTGTCAAACTCTGAACCAGGAATGGCTGCAGGCAGTGAAACAGAAGGCAAGATCTCCAGAGCAACCAGTGACTCTGCCCTCTAGCCAATCAGCGGCCAGAACCATGATGCTGGCCTGACTCGGTCTTGCCAGGTACCTCAACGGAGTAGCGACTAAAAATGGGGGAGAAAGTGGAGGGAAATTACGAAACCGTGCCCTTGGAAACAGTGGTCGGGCCGAGCTGCATCGGTCCAAGTTGCTCCGAGTAGTGCTCCTGGAAAACCACCTGAAGTAAACATGGAAAGACAACACTGCTCTAAAAGCAGAAAGTAGACGCTGCAGGAGCCTGAAGGTCCAAATTCAAGAGCAAGCTGTAAACAGAACCATGTGGAAAAATGTGAATGTAAGCCACATCGTAAAGGACGATAGGGGACATTGTTGGAAACATGAGGGGGCAATTTTTTTAAGTCCGTCACGTCCTACTGGTGTTCCCTTTAGTCCTGTCAATTTTAATGATGCGACTAACAAGACCCAGGTAAGTTGGGCATCAATCAGGAGACATGAGAGCCTTCTTACAAAGCAAAATGCGACCATTTTAATTATAACTGTATTTTACCCATTATATTGTTTTGTGTTTGGAGCTGAATAACAGGACAGCTGCAATAAAACGACAAAGAGTATCCAGTCCCAGTTGCAGGGACAGAAAGAGACAGAGACACCTAGACATAACTGAAGTCATCAACAAACCTTCTGCTCTATACGCCCGTCATCCTCAGGCAGGTGGGCAGCAACGTACCAATCACCTGCAGCAGGGTCGGACAGGTTAAAGGTTGTGACGCTCTGTGAGGTAACTGGTAGAGTCAGGGACAAACTGGGGCTCCAGAGTGTTGAATTGGGAAACACTGATCCTGTTGGGTTTATAACGGGAGGGGCACCCCATCGAATATGGCTAAAGAAAACAAACAGAGAGGTTTAGGAAAGAAGACCGACAGAGATACAAAAGCTATGGGTTAGACGTTTATTTACTGTCCTACATGGTGACGTTGTGTTGTCCACAGTGGAAGGTGTGACCCTTTTTCACGGAGAACAACCAGCGAGCGATGGCGGTCTCCTCTGGCATGTGGAACCTCTGCAGCCTGACGTTGGCATACCAACCATACTTGGACAACTTCTGAGCAGGTTTAGACAAAAGCTCGGAGACAAAAGTCACCTGGCCATCTGAGGGAAGGATTAGTAGAAATGTTCGTGTTTACATACAGAACTGCAGCAATAACAACAGATGCAGGTGTTGTTGGGACAACAGAGATGGCTTAAAACCAACAGCTAGCATTTTTAAATCACGCATGAAAACTCACTACTTCAACCTAGCGTATACCGCATAATTATGAACCTCACTTACAGCTACATTGTTTAAAAATGGAATTCACAATATCAACTTCCGTATTACTGAGGTTCTTTTTTTAAATGTTGTTCTTATTTTTTATTCTCCCTGTGTTTTGTTGATTTTTAACTGTTAGTTTTAGGAATTTTGTTGTTTTTCCTTTTTATCTTTTAAATCAAATCAACTTTATTTATAGAGCGCTTTCACATGGCCAAAATGGACAAACAAAGTGCTGTAGTTTATCTCTGTTCTACATGAATGTATAACGCCGGTTTAATTAACTAACATTTTTAGTGTATAGTGCCTTGTTTGGTTGTAATGCCTTGTTGAATGCGCTTTATAAATAAAATTGGTATTGGTATTGGTAAAAAGAATCTTGGCAGGAGAGGAAAATACCACCCCTAAGAACAATCCAAACATTAACAAATGCCAGAAAGACTTCAAGTATGTTGCTGCACTCAACTCTAGCTTACATGGATCTTAAAGCCCTGTTTAAGGAGCCTGTTCAGGCTGGTTAGCTCCACCTTTGTTCTGTTTCTAAGGTCCAGAGACAATAAAAGGAAACTGGATAAGGTGGACTTCATCAGACCTGAGTAAGAGTGGAAGGGACGGGAGGCGTTTAGCTCCTCACCTATTGAATTAGTTTGAATTTAAGGCTGTTTAAAGTTTCAAGTGATACTGAACATCATTTTTAAATAAACGTGGAAACTTGACATTTGAATTTTTTTTATATATTTAAAATCAAACGCATTAATACAATTCAATAAATCCCTTAAAGAACATGGTTAATGTGATAACTTTTAGAATGTGATTGAATGCTGTGTGCCACTGAAATGCCTTTTAGAGAGGATTTATAATAATCAGCAACAAATAAAACAATAAACGACGAGGGTGAAGTTAGCTTTAGTTTCGAGAAATGGCTAAAGGGCAATTACAACCAATTTTCCCCCTACTCTTACCATCTTTAATCTGCTTTAGCTCAAAAACACCTACCCTCTTCAAACCTGCACTAGATTATTCTAGACTACAGCCGGTTTCAAACTGCAAGCATCAGCGGAACGGAACGGCAGCGAAGCGGCACTGCTTCAAATAGAATCCAATTATAGTCAATGGCGTGTTTAAAACCAGCCGCAACGCTGCAATTTCCAGTCGCGTCCCAGAAGCGGCATGCCGCGCCGCGCAAGACAGGATCGAGTTGTTTTTTCCCAGAGCCACTGCTGGGACACGTCAATTTCTGTAATTCACATAGTGCGAGACAGGAAACCACACAGTTTCAGTGTGAAATCCCCGGGTATTTTAAAAATAAAATGCAAGGTTGCGATGTTATACGTGACTTACGTCAGTACGTGTGACCGAACAGCTTGGTTTACCACCAGTTTCTTTCGAGAAGCGCAACGGTGTGATTCCTCGCGGGGGTTGTGATCTCTCGATGAGGACGGTGTCGGAAGTCTCGAGAGATTTCAGAATCTCGCGGGTACAGAGAGGCGCAGTGAGGAAGCCGTGCCGCAGCCAAGACTCTCCCGGTGTGAAAAGGACCGCTTTGAAGTTCGCGAGTGAGCCGCTCCGCTGATGCTTGCAGTGTGAAACCGGGATAATAGCAGATTGCAGAAAACATAGTTTGTAATTTGTGAAACATTTTTCTGATTTGTGAAACTTCAAGAAAGCCAGATTTATGCATATTTTTAGCATCTGATCCACACTGGAACTGGAACTCAAGCGAGCTGCGCGCTGAAAAGGAGCTCAGTGCGCATCTGTGACAGACCAGCGTACAATAGGTTGACCAGATGTCCCACTTTGTGCGCACCTGCAGGAGTCATTAACTAACTTACACGGAAACCCAGTTTGCATCTGTGCAGTTTATAGTTTAGATGTGCTGTAGCGTGCGTGCCACACAATTAATGAACCAATAAGTCCTTTAAAGACACATAAAAGGAATTGAAAACTGAGTGAAAGAAAAGGAGTGAAAATGTCGTGTCATACCCACAACAAAGACACGGAAGAACTACAGCAGGAAAACTTGCTATGTTAGAAACAACTAAAAAGTGGAGAGGAGGTGAATGACAACATTATGGTTGTTGGTCCCAGTTCCTCAGTGGATGTCCCCTCTATGAAGGTATCACAGCTTTACAGAAGGCCATTTCAGATAGGGATCCAACGATACCACTTTTTCCCAAACCGATGCATACCGATACTTGGATCTGAGTACTCGCCGATACAGATTACCGATACCTGTACTTCTACCACACAAAAAAAATGCAATGATTTGGAATACAGATTTTATTTTCTTCTCTGCTTTCATCAGGAGAAGACTGTGAGGTAGATAAAAAGTAAAATACATGAATAGAAATCATCACAAAACTAAAATATTAGGTGAACAGAAATGACAAGTTACCGTGAAGCCATTTTCAAGCAACTGCAATGGTATCGGTTAACTTTCACTGATACCGATACCAGTATTGTATTGGTATCTGCACCGATGTATCGGTATCGGTGCATCCCTAATTTCAGATGTATGGTATCTTCTATGAAGACAGAAAAACTGAAAAAACAAAAAACTAAAAGTTTAATTATGCACGAACAGGCAATAAAGAAAAATTGGACAGTTGTATGAAATCTGCCCTGCTGTGTATTCAACATGCATGAAAAGGTATTAAATGACCTTTTATGTGAAGTGTTCATAAATCTCAAAGTTGGTTTTAATTGTTTTGCTAGTGGTGCAGAATACTCTAGTCCAGGTGTGAACTGTCTACGTATTGCAGTTTTGAAATTACAGCTGTTTTAATGTGGTCTAGATGAAGGAAACACGCCAAAATCTGGCTTTATAGAAGTTCCACAAATTAAAAAACAGTTTCACAAATCCCAGTGGTGGTTTTATTTGTTCTACTAGTAGTGCAGAATAATGTAGTCCAGGTTCGAAGAGGGTATGTGTTGTAGTTTTTGAGCTAGACAAATCTGACTTTCTTGAAGTTTCGCAAATCACAAACTACGTTTGCTGCAATCTGCTATTCGCCTAGAATAATCTAGTTCAGGTTCGAAGAAGGTATGTGTTGTAGTTTTTGAGCTAGAGCTGATTAAAGATAGGCAGAGTAGAGAAGTATTGAGTGTAATTGCCCTTTAGCCCGTTACCGAATCGGAAACCAACTTCAGTATCGTCAAAAACGTTGTTTTCCACAGCATAAAGTACCGATGGACTATTCTGTTGTGGCAAGGTGGAGAGGCAATATAAATTACAATACCTCCCCCAACGCTCACCTGGTTAGACTGGGTTATCGAAACTATTAGTAAACCGATTTTGATTTGCTTTCCACTTCTACTTTCTAATCGAGTTAACATGTAGAAGACAGCAGGGCTGGTGTTATCTACGTCTTTAATAGACAAATTTTAACACGAAGGCTAGCTGCTAGCAAACACGTTAACGTATCACTCACCATCTGCTAATGTCCCCCCCGCTGTCAGGACAACAAAAAGGAGACGACGCAGAAAACAAGCCTCCATGTTTCTCCTCCGACCGTCCAAACCATTACATAGTGTCGTCTCTACCCATTTTAACCGGTTTTAACACGCCTACCAGCCGCTAGTACAGAAGGTACAGAATAACAATTCAGGTGCTCCACACTTCCGGGTATTGGTGTAAATATGTGACGTAATTCATCTAGCCGGTAGATGCTACATTCGAGGACTGTCGGAAATAACAGTAACAAAGACAAACAGCGGTCAAATCCGAATTCTGAAAATAAATAAATAAATAAACTCTAACTTGTGTTGTTCAAAACGTAAACATGGCGCAGTGGGTAGTGTGGCAACACCGGGATCAACCTACTGCAGCCTACTGGCCTGTGGACACCTAAAAAAGAACCACCCCTGACCCTAACCCCAACCCTTACCGACACACACACACACACACACACACACACACACACACACACACACACACACACACACACACACACACACACACACACACACACACACACACACACACACACACACACACACACACACACACACACACAGTGAAATGAAAACCAAAATCCCAAACTTTACAAAACGCTAAAGCCTGAAATAGGCGCCACTGCTGCAAGCACCCTCCAAAACCACTCCAACCAGGCCTCCAACTGCATGAAAAGAAAAAAGTTGGTAAAAAACAGAATAAAAAAAAATAAAAATAGCAATTGCTTCTACACCAAGCCCCTAGCCTAGTGAACTAGACCAAATTCTTGCTTTGCAAAGTTTGGTCTAGGAATGCTCCACTGGAACCTCTGCAGCCCCAACAGCATTCTGGCTGGCCAATCACAGCTCTCTAGAGGGGTTTCAAACACATAAAGAGCTGTGATTGGTCCATAATGGTGGGCCAATCACAGCTCTCTAGAGGGGTTTCAAACACATAAAGAGCTGTGATTGGTCCATAATGGTGGGCCAATCACAGCTCTCTAGAGGGGGTTTCAAACACATAAAGAGCTGTGATTGGTCCATAATGGTGGGCCAATAGTGCTCTATCTGCTTAGTGAACAAATCACATAGCTTTATCCGCTTTGTGGGCCAATCAGGGAACTCTACATGCCTGGTGGGTGGGATGATGCAACAGAGTGAAGCAAGAGTATGTCACATTCATTGTCCAGTAGCATGTGGAGATAGCCTACAGGAGGGAGGTGGATCGGCTGGTGTACTGGTGCAGCAGCAACAACCAGGAGCTCAATGCTCAGAAGACAGTGGAGATGATTGTGGACTTCAGGAAAGTCACAGCCCCATCTCTCCCCCTCGTCCTGACGGACACCCCCGTCACCACTGTGGACTCCTTCCGCTTCCTCGGAACCACCATCACACATGACCTTAGGTGGGAGCCATCCATCAGCTCCCTGATCAAAAAGGCCCAGCAGAGGATGTACTTTCTGCGGCAGTTGAAAAAGGCCAAACTGCCAGCCCAGATGATGGTGCAGTTTTACACGGCCATCATCGAGTCCATCCTCACCTCCTCCATCGCTGTGTGGTACGCTGGAGCCACAGTGAGGGACAAAAATAGACTGCAGCGCATTGTGCGCTCTGCTGAGAAGGTGATTGGCTGCAGCCTTCCATCTCGCCAGGACCTGTACGTCTCCAGAACTCGGGGGCGTGCAGGTCGGATAGCAGCTGACCCTTCGCACCTGGGTCACAGACTTTTTGAGCCGCTTCCCTCAGGCAGGAGGTTACGGTCCATCCGGACCAGAACCTCCCGCCATAAGAACAGCTTCTTTCTATCTGCCGTTAGACTTGTGAACAGCTTATAAACACACAACCATGCTCGTCTTCTGTACTCGACACAAAGTCACGTTATCGGCCATGTTACCATTACCTGCCATTTTTTATCGCTGAAAGTTTTATTCTAGTTTTTTTTGTATATTTTATTCTATTTTAAATCTTATTATTCATGTTATATGTAGCACATAGTACCGAAGCAAGTTCCTAGTTTGTGAATCGTTTGTTCACTGACAATGGCAATAAACCTTTTCTGATTCTGAGATCATTTGAAAGACAACGGTAGAACCCGCCCCACAACCGAGAGCCGTCAATGGAGCGTTGCCAGACTAAACAATACATTTATTTAGTCTGGCTTGCCAGGCTACCAAGCCCTCACAATGCGGGTCAAAAATTGATGCAAACCCGGAAATGAAATAAATTGCAGTTCCACCCTCATCCACTAGGGGCTGGTGTCAGAAGCGAGCAAATCCTCATTGACTCCCATGTTAAAAATACCAATTTCACAGCAGAAATAAACATGTTTACAGCCTGGTACCAAAACATGTTTTTGGTTTAAATGATCTAGTTTACACTCATGACAACTCTGAGGGGGTGAATTGTTTTCTCACTCTTCTGTTTAAGTGTATTAAAAGCCTAAAATTCTGTATAATTAATGAGCATCAGACCCATGTGACCACAGAGCTAGCTCCGGGGAAAGGCCTCAGTAGAGCCTCGCCTGAAATCTGTTCCGTCATTTTCAGTCTCTCAACTTAGTAGTTGCTGTTTTGGGACCAAATCCATGATTATGGTCAGATGAAAGCAGAATGAAAATGATAATCTGAAATAAAATTAACTGATGAAAAACTGGACCTGGGTAATCCATTAGCCTAGAACAGCAGTCTGTCGTTATTATAGTTTTCATAGAGTTGAAAACTCTAGCTGAGCATTTACGTTCCAGAACAAAGTTTAGGGGCAGCAGTGGTTCAACAGGTAGAACGGGTTGTCCAGTAATCGGAAGGTTGCAGGTTCGATCCCGGCTCCGGACAGAGAATTCTGCTGTTGTGTCCTTGGGCAAGACACTTAACCCACCTTGCCTGCTGGTGGTGGTCGGAGGGACCGGTGGCGCCAGTGCTCGGCAGCCTCGTCCCTGTCAGTGTGCCCCAGGGCAGCTGTGGCTACATCGTAGCTCATCCCCACCAGTGTGTGAATGTGTGTGTGAATGGATTACACTGTAGTGTAAAGTGCTTTGGAGTCTTTACTCTGAGAGGCGCTATACAAGTACGGGTCATTTATCAAAGTTCTTCGTCCTTTAAGTTTTAGCCTGAGGAGAAATAAATGAACACACTAAGAATTATGCACCGATGAATCAGGTACCCAGTCAGAGGTAAATTATGCATCAAGTTGCATCCCAACATCTTAAAAACCTAAAAAAAAATGATATTCATGACTTGAAAAATTAACCAAAAATAAAGTGCTCCGTGGGCCTCTGATTTAAGGAGTTTTGAGAGTATGCATCTGGTAAATCTATGGGACATTTTGATTTCCTAAACCTTAGTGAATTCCAGCTGGAATTATATTTATGGAAAACGAATCCAGTCCCTTTAAAAGTTTAAACCACATGAATGGCATTCTGTAATGACCAAAGACACCAGCAGGTGGAAGTAGATGCTTGATGCTTAACAGCTGCAGGCTCCTCTGTGGCTGACAGGACAGATTCTTACATTCATTGGACCTGTTTTAGATCAGGTTTCACCAGCGAGGCTATTGGACCTCAAAAATCCAGAAAACTGAGGTCACGTCAGGCCGAATGGACCTGAGGAATATGTTGTAGTAACTCCACCCGAGTCTCTACAAGCATGGTGTGTGCACTCCTCGTGACTTCATTAATATGTTTGTGATGTTTGATAAAGTCTTCTTTAAGCATTTTGGAAGGAGCCAATAAAATGTGTAAATGGGACGTTTGGATCCCCGCCCCGCAGTTTAGGTGCTGATGGACCTGTTACACTGTGTGGAGGTTAATCACAAAAATAAAATAGCTTTTTAAGAGTTCGGGCATCAAATGTCCAGTTTAAGGAAATCCCAAGTAAAATTTACCAGCATCCGTCAGTGTAATTAAACAGGATTTACTGTGGGTCCTAAAGAGGTTGTGGAGTTTGGGACCAAAGGGACTCCCTAACCTTTACTAGCTGCTGCTTTTTGTTTGGTTTCATTTTCAGGTCAGCTGACATATGGAGAACATTTTAGATGTGTCACCATCTGTGTGTGTGTGTGTGTGTGTGTGTGTGTGTGTGTGTGAGAGAGAGAGAGAGAGAAATATAAATGAGGCCCCTCAGTCAGGAAATCCTCTAATCGACATGACCTGTGGAAGGAGCTCACAGGCACACAAACCATCACACCGGTGAAACACCTCTTGACTTTTATTCAGTTGTTCAAGTTTCCCAGGAAAATAAAACTCCCAGGTGTGGAAATCTGAGAGCAGTGGGATAGAAGGACAGGAAACAGCAGTCACAATGACTGAGGATGCTGAGAATGTGGTAGATTTGAGTTATTCCTCTGTTCTAACACACCTGGTTTTGATCAGCAGGTGATTAAAAGGCTTCTGCAGAGCTTAAATACCTGCTGATCAGGCGTTTAATCAGGTGTGTGAGCACAGAAACAACAAAAACATGCTGACTTGAGGCCAATCTTCAGCAGGAGGACAGCTTTGCTCTGCAAAAAAAAAAAACCCACCTCAGACAGATATGCAACAGACTTCAGACAACACAACATACAGTAAGTGTCCACTAGGTGGGGAGGTGGGTTGGGACTATCCCCGCTTCAGTTCCTGCAGCCATGATGAAGCAGCGCATGTCACCTCGGTGTGGATGGGGGAGGAGCATTTAGGGTTGGAGGGTTGCAGTGACCCTGGAACGATTCAGCGGCCTTCCCGCAGTCCCGCCCAGGCTGGGAAAGGAGACAGAGTTGAGTTGCCATAGCGACGGCACATTCCACATATCTTCTGAGGGGGGAGTTTTCGTTGGAGTCTTGCGGGCTCAAGGGCGCCAGATTCCGATTAGAAATTGTTTTGGGGCCAGACAGAGATCATTTCCTCTCTGTCTTACAGTTTGTTGGTCCTCAACCTCTCAAAATCCCAATAATGGACATTAATGTATCCCAATCCAGGACTCTAGAAGGCACTATATCAAATACAGA